AGAACAGTGAAGTTAGATAACATCAAAATTATCAGATGTTATTTAATCTTATTGTTCTTGAAACCAACTTGAAGAATAAAGAAATAATCGATACCCGAGTATTGGAAACAAGGTGGATTTCTCTGTAGGGGTTCAGTTTCAAGTAGAGTCTCTTCAGGTTTCTTGAAATAGAAAGAAGATCAGAGTCAGAATGGGTGTTGTAGATCCTAAAATCCACACTAAGTATTTTGTAGTGATCAAGAGTTTAATCTGGGGAAGACAAATGATGTGGGCAACGATTTAGGACACAATGATACAATCGGAATTCGGTTGACAAAAATGGATTTTATTGAATATGGAATTTGATACAAAGTGGTAAACAAGATCGAGAACAATAATGAAAGATAGAAACTATATGAAAACTATAAGTCTATGATTTGAGGTCGATGTGAGTAGTGATTTTCTCTAGGGTTTTCCATGTCTCTTCATACTCCGCTTTAGCTCCTTTTTATAGTCTTTTTCTCCCCCAACCGTCTTTGTGATCTTCGGGATACTATTTTGACTTCGTCGTGTTCGATCGAGCTCATGATGAGCTTGCATGGGCTTGGGCCTTCTTAATTAGACATTGAAATCAGTTCATCAGAAAGGTTTCAGTGTTCGTCGAAAAAAGAGAAAGGTCAGAGAAGACTTATCTGGGTTCGGTGTTGAGAAATTTTGAAACTTTTGATGTCAGATGGTTGATTCCAAGGCAGTCTGGTTCAGATCGGGAACATGCAGAGTCGTTGAAGGTTCATCGGTTCAGATTCAGTGCATGCAAGATGATTTGAATCTTGTTTTGAGTGCGGTTCCGACAGATGTGCAGAAAGAAACCAGAGAAAAGGTTAGTCGGTGAAAGATCCGATGATGGTTACTTTAAAAGAGGGAGTAACAGAAAAGAAGAGAAGAGATACCGAGATTACCTTTTTTTTCATGAGGTCTCAGGAGTCATAGGAAATAAGAAGAAGCTCCAGAAGACATCGGAAACTTGATCGATACGGTGGAGGCAACTTATCGCCTTAGAGAGAAGGGAGAGAGACACGGAGGCTAGGGTTTCGAAGAGAGAGACAGCACTTCAGTGTTATGTCTGAAAGGTGGAGATTGTGAACCTATGTTCAGCCAAACTCCGAAATGGGCTTTGTATTCCACAGTCCAAACTCTCGTCTGAAACATGCATAAAAGAATCAAGCCCAAGTCTCAGCCCGATAAGCTCAAAAATGGAACGCTGCGTTTTGAAATAGGAGGCAAGTGAATGAGTTTGTTATAACAAACTTGTAAGCCAAGTTGCAGAAATAACACGGAAAAGATGATCAAGATCAGAGTGAGAGAGAAGACGGCTTAGCTTGAGATCGTGAGGGTGAAGCTCGATGAAGTTGAAAAGCGGTATACGATCAGGCGTACCATTTCGGCAGTGACTTTCCGGCCTCACAGAAAAAAAACAACAAGCTCTCTAATTCCCTTGTGTATTTCTATGTTTCTATAACATCCACCATTGTTTCGATTGCTTGTAAACCTTGATCAAAGTCTGGTAGAAGCAGTTGAGGGGTTATGTCTCCCTCCTCGGTGAGTAGATCAGAGAACATCGGGTAAACAAACTTTTGTGTTCTTTACTTTCAGATATTGATCTATTCAAACCTAAAAACAATCAACATGACAATCAATATTACGAAGTATCAAACAAGGTTAAACCTACATGAATTCAATCTAAATCTCTACATTTGTTTTCTAAAGCTTGCTAACTTGATTTGGCTTAATGCACATGTGTTGATATTAATCATTTCTCTTGTTTTAGTTGCGGGTCTAGTTCTTGTGTTTTTTTTTATATTGTTTGAGTGTGAGTTCTGGTTACTGACTTTTGGTGAGTTTCATTTGGGGATTTTTCATTATTCCACCGGCTTAGAGCATTCGCAATGGCGGATCCTTAGGGGGAATCCTTAGGAAAACAGAAAAATAGGTATTTCAAATTATATAATAATATTTCAGAGTTTTTCTAAAAAAAAAAAAACTGACCACTCATGAACCGCCACGTGGACAGTGGAGTCCGCAAATAGTGTAAGGATCAATTCTTACATAAGAATTTTATCCTTAAAATCCTTAAGTGTTCATGGGACCCATTGATTATAAAATTAATATTTTCTTAAGGATTCCACCCAAGGATCCGCCATTGCGGATGCTCTTATGTCTTAAATTTTATATTTTTTTTTAGAATAAAATTCATTGGATGAAAAAAAAAACTTATGAGATATCTATATGGAATATTTCAAATGATAATACTCAAATAAATCCTCTTTAGCCGGTCTCCCAATTCAAAGCCTAGTGTCGACATTTTTAGCAGTTGTAATAGTGAAACGAAACATCACTTAGACTCAGTAATTTGACTTAAAGTGACCCTACACGCTAGGGGTTAGGTCTTACGTCTTAGACGCATCACCCGATTTGGTCATATCCGATGCATTATGACGAAGTCAATATCCTGGGATTACCATGACATTTGATTTATTTTGGTTACAGAATTACAGCTCTTGATGTAAATCTAGTTTTTAGCCGTCAGTTTTTCTGTATGTTCTCGCCTCTTCATGGTTGCCTTTGCCCTCCTTTTATATGTAAAACTTCTTTTCTTTTTATCCTAAGTCAGTTTAATCTAACGAGCCGGGCTAGGCTTAATGGGCCGAGCAACTAGGCTGAGTTTCCGAGCTATTACGCCGAGCTCAAATGCCGAACTCATGGCACCGAGTTAAGTTCAGCCGAGTTCGAGTGTCGAGCTGACACCCCTGAGTGGCGTGGAGTCGATGTACTGAACCGAGTTCCTCATTTGATGGACCTCGTAGAATGATGTAATCCATCTCTAACAGAGTGTTAGAAGTTGTTCCAACGCAGTGATGTTATTTTGTCAAGTGGATTTGCATGGCGTCTCAAGTTGGCTAGAAAAGTTAGCTTTGATCTGGTGATCTCTTTATTTCTGACGAAGTCAAAATCGACTTTTTTGTCACAATTTTCATTGTCAGGTTTGTTGCCGTCAGAGTGGTTGTGAAATAGCTGAGAAAAACTAGTGATGATGGGGAAGGCAAAGAGAATCGATGGTGGCGATTTGAGGACGAGCGGACCAATGTATTCACTAAGACTTCTTTTTAAAAATATGGATTTGTTTAATTTAATTTATCCGGCTCAACTAATGTAACCATTCAACCTATTCTTGGTTTGAGACGATTACTCAAATATAATTTTTTTTAATGATTATTTGGTTTGGTTCGATAACGATTTGTCCACTTGTAGTAGGTATGTGAACTACATTATCAAATGCTGGAAAATAACGAAGGAGAAAAACAGAAGGGAGTGGGAGTAATACGTTTGGACGACTTTAATGAGACGGTACGTGGCTACGTGCGGTGCCTAACCATCAGGACCTACTTTTAAAAGTCCAATTCAATTCATTTTGTTGTTTTGTATATGATGGAATTTAAATCAGTTAATTTTATATACATATATATCATATGTTCGTATATGTTAAATTAATACATTAGTTTTTTTTTTGTAAAAAATAATACACTAGTTATGACAGTAGTGTACACTTTTTAAATATGGACCACTTTAAAGCATATATAACATAAATCCAACCAATGTGAAAAGAAAGAAAAGAAAAAAGCTGGAGAATTTAAGCTGAAAAAACAAAACACGGACATAAAGACAAATAGTTTACATTCATAAAGCTATCCACCAATTTTTTATTGAAAGTTTGTATATGTATCCTACGACTAAAAAAAACTTTCAGTTAATTTGTCTATATTTCATTAATATGATAAGAATGTAAAATTTTCAAATGTTAAAAAAGAAAAAGAATTTTCTCCAAAATATTTCAAATGTACATAGATTAATGTGGAGGAGTTGTTAAGATTATTTAACTTTTATTGGGTGAAAGTGTAGGAGATTGGGTGAAGTAATCAATGATTATATGAGAATGGATGAAGTAAGAACCGTTTCCCATTGTTCTGTGGAATCCCCTTTGCTAGAAACGTCTGCAATGGTGAAAACCAGTATAAGTACAACGAAAACATAGCTTATGTATATATATATCATAGGAACAGAGAGAAACACCACGTACGTGCATGACAAGTGCGTTATGTATGTTAATCCAGAACGCTAGTTTCTCTTAATGAGACAGCATTCTTGGATCAACACTTTCTAGTTTCTTGATAAGCAAGCTGCATAAATTATAAACCAATGAGTACAATCAGCATTTTAAAAACCGAGTGAAAGAACAAAGGATAAATCGCATTAGTAAAGACTGACCTGAAGTTTTTAGTCATCAAAGTCAAGGTCACCTCCTTTCCTATGGTTTTGATGAATGTGTTACACCTCTATCATTGAGCTCTAAGGTCCGAATTCGAACTGATCATCAAAGTTTTTTCTGAAGCTTGGACTCCACATATCATACTGTTCTTGAGGCGATAACTCACTTACTGATGATAGAGATGAACTTGGGGATGAGAAACCGTGGTTTATCGATGGAGGGGTCGCTGAGCTTTCAGTATATAGCTGATGCACATTTTATCAATTCCTCTGATAACTTGTTTGGAGTCATAACAACAAGGATCTCTTGGTAGAACTAGCATCAGAAGCTTAATGGCCATCATTGTCAGCATCCCGCACTTCTCAGCGTGGACATCAAACTGCGTCTTCATGTACTATGAAATTTCCATCTCAAAGGGAATGATGCTTCTGCTGGAGCAGCTTCTCCATTCCAGAACTCTTTAGAGCAAATTAACAAGTATCCATGGGCAGCTAAAAAGGGATAAGACCAATTAGAGAAACCTACACCAAGTTACTGCACATGTGTGTCTTGAGGAGAGAACTCCTAAAGTACATATTCCTCATCAAGTGTTTCTAAAAGGACTAGAAAAATCAAAAAGAAAAATTTAGTAGGACAATTCTATAGGTGCTCAACCCCTCATAGTGGACTACTACAATTGATGGTAAGTAGAATTGGCATGGCAATGACTGAATCTTGTTTGTCTTTCCATGGAATCCTGCTGACACACTATCTCTTCCTGAAATTTCTACTATCCCGGTTTGGCTCATCTCGATGGACATTCCTTATCAGCTTTACTCCAAAAAGGAATAAGCTGGATAGCTTCAGTTATAGGAGAGCTCCAATGCTCACAAGTAGGTTGTGGCTTGATCGCTTTCTTATAGTACAAGAAAAAATACTTGTAGAGGTAAAGTTGGACCATCCTTTTCCACAAGATAATGCTCTTGAATATGAGGGAACAATTTATATGGTCACTGTCATATACTCATGGCTGCCCTCCAAGTTCTCAAAGTGTGGACAACTTGGACACAAGGCTACAAGTGTATTGGACTTCCTCCTACTCCAGTACCTACGGATCTTCAGAAATGTTAGGGTTTTATGATTAAGGGTATTTTGAAAAGTGGTAACCAACTTAGAGTGTTACAGAAAATAAGGTAACCAATTTAGAATATTTTAAGCAATTTCTCAAATATCATAAATTTTTAGAATTTTTTTGCTAATTTTTAAAAGAAAATCGTTAAAAAAATATGGAAAAAATCAATAAAAATCCAAATATCGAAAATAAAAGTTTCCAGATTTTTTTCAAGAAATAAAATTTTCGCAAAATAATTTGATTTGAAAAAAAAAATTCAATTTTTTTCAAAAAAACTTTTTTTTGAAAAAAAAAAAATATATATATATATATGTAAAGTAGGAGTATAATTTTCACTTAGGTTAGCTTACGGCTGCACAATGTACAAATAGCGCCCAAAGCTCCTGGTCAACACAAAAATTCCACTTAACTTTTTTTGGTCATTTTAACCATTTGAGACTAACTTGTGATAAAACCCTTTTAAATCGATTTTAGGGTATTTTTCATTGTTTTTTTTCCATTAACCAACATTAGTTTTGCCACTTTTGTTTTAAATGGTATTTAGAAACCAAAACTATATAAGAAGTTACTTAATTTTGTTTTAAATTCAACATGTTTCATTATGAGTTTTTTTTTTTTAAAATATGTAATTTATTTGATTAATTGTGTAATATGTCTTTTTTACAATAATTTTTTACCTATAAATAATATTTAGTCTAATTTGAAGGGTTTTTAAGTTTAAATGCATGCAATTCTTTATTGGAGTTTTTGCAAAATTGACTCACAACTCAGAGTCAAACACAAAACTAACTTCTTCTTTTGACTCATCTTTCTTTTGTCCTATTCACCCCACATCTTCATTTTATCTACGAAAATGCCACTAAAATGTTTTTGTAATTTTTTCGAAAATGGTTTTTTTACTATCTCAACCTCATCATCTTCAAGTATTTACAACATTGCCATTGCCATGAATACACTCAACAACCTTGTACAACCAGTTTGAAGCTTTTAATGCTCCTAAAATCGATACCCAATCTCTCTTTCTCAATTGTTATGAACTAAAAACAACATCTCTTTCACTTTGTCTCCATATTCATACCAAAAACCCAAGCTTTTGATTCCAAAAATTTATATGGTTGATAGAACCATTTAAGCATACAATTCTTGGTGGGTTACTTTCGTTTGATGTTCTGGGTGGTTGGAGAAGACTTTGTGTGCTAAGGAAGTCATCTCACCTAGTTTAAGGTATGAAACTGAAATTTTTACCAGATCTGTTCGTCTAGAAGACTTACCCGTAAGTCTTCTGGATGTAGAAGACTTACGGATAAGTCTTTTGGTCAAACGGACGACTTACTCTAAGTCGTCCAGCTTTGTATGTTTTAAAAAAAAAACTCTAGACGACTTATAAGTAGGTCGTCTAGGAAAAACGGGCTAGTTTTACATTTGACCGAATTGAGTCAGATATTTGACTTTTCCTGGACGACTTACTGGTAAGTCGTCCAGGAAAAGTCAAATATCTGACACAATTCGGTCAAATGCAAAACTATTCCGTTTTTCCTAGATGACTTACTTATAAGTCGTCTAGGTTTTTTTTTTAACATACAAAGCTGGACAACTTAACGGTAAGTCGTCTCATTTAAATTTCAACTGCAAAAATGACCTGTCTGGAAGACTTACCGTTAAGTCGTCCGGACAACTTACTTGTATGTCGGCTGCGTCAATGATTAGTAAACTTTCATTTTCTCTATGTTTACTAATGTGTTTTTATTTTAAATTTTTGCAGATGATTCGTCAGTTACATGCAGTGTATGGAGAATGGTTGTTCAAAGATGTCCTTTTTACTCGTAAGGTCCTAGCTAATTTACGAGGAAACTTTTCCTCGTAAACGCGTGGATACATTTTTCCTCGTAAGGTCCTCGTACCGGTTTCCTCGTAAAGTCATAGTAACACATTTCCTCGTAAACTCGTGGTAATGATTTACGAGGACCTTACTAGTAAAATGTACGATACGAGGATTTTACTTCGAAACATTTTTTCCCTATTAAAAAATATTAATTATAAATATAAATAAAATATTTTTAAAAATTAAAAAACCAAATTATAAAAAAAAGAAATAACAAAATATTTTATAAATAACTAAATAATATACAATTAAGTTTTAAAATTCATAATATTCAATAAAAAAAACTACGGATGCTGGTCGTTAAAGTCGTCCCGGCTCGCCAACTCCTCCTCGGCAAGGTTGGCTGTCGTCTGTGACTGTGATGGTGGATGTTGTTGGGTTGGAAGCCCCCCACTTTCCCGTTTCACACGCAACATCTCCGCCAATTGCGGGTTTCCAACCGCCAAAATGTCCAGGACATCGTTGAGAGAACTCAATGATCGGTGAGCGAACTCACATGAGACTGCGTCGCCTGCAACTCCGAGCGCAGCTGAGCATTGAAATTGTGTTGTTCCTGAGCATAAGACGATGTCGCTGTGGAGACATCGTTAACAGAGCCAATCCCGACGATATGCCACTTTTTCCTAGGGGCGAACTGTAAATAAAAAGATTAATAACGTTAAAAAAATTAAATAAATAATAAAAATTAATAGAAAAACAAATTATTTACCTCCTCGTAAATCTTATCCACTTCAAGAGTGGATAATATGACTGGTGTCCCAGTCTGGTGAGTCAGCTGGGTCTGGCGTTCGTCAACCCGGGCAACAACCTCGTTGTAGATCCGCTTGGATCTAGGATCTACAAACTGCCCAGCCTTGTTCCGGTGGATCCTCTCGTAAAGCTCTTTCAGAGATGGAAGAACTCATGTCTCTTTAGCCTAATTTTTTTTTAAATTAAATATTAATTTGGAATACTCAAATAGAGTAAAAATTAAATAGTTATTAAAAATTAATTTACCATGTCTAGACGAATTCCCCCGTGAGGTTTTCGACCCGCCGTGTGAAGCATCTTCGTGTTGCCATGCTCGTCTCTTGTCATGCAGTTCTCGGAGTTTGTGTGGGAGGTTCTGACCGAGTCCGGCAACCCCCAATATATGATGAGGCCATCCCACACGTCGAATGTGAGGCAATCGGGTTTCCCCTCCTCATAACCATCCACCTGAACAAAAAATAATTTTAAAATGATTAGCATTGAAGTCAATAAATGATTTAAAACTATATATATATATATATATATATATATATATATATATTTATATATATATATATATATATTTATATATATATTTTATAAATCCACACCTGAAAGTCGCCCTTCCAGTAGTAGACCATGTCGAGCAATCGTGCTCTCGCCTTCGCCTCAAACTCCGTCTTCACCCGCTGGTGAATCCCTATAGACCAACAATATTTTTGCTATAACCAGAAAAAATAAGAGACGGATTAGTTCAATAATATTAATAATTTTAAATAATTAAAAGAAATTAAGTTGATTAATTAAACTTACAGCAAACGATTTGAACCACGTCTTTTTTGTGTGGCTGGGCGTCTTCTTCCAGTTTGGAGCTGCATCGGGAAAGTATCCCTTGATACAATCCGTGACGCTCTGAGCGACACATCCGTCAAGACAAAACCTGGAAAGAAACAAAATAAAAACATAAATTAGATTAATTTGTAAATTTTTGGTTAATTAAGAAATAAATTAAAAACGTTTTTTAAAAATTAAAATATACCATAATATGTTGTGGCCGTCCCGTCGGATAGGATCTAACTCAGGCAGCCCTTCTCTGCTTGGAAGGGCAATAATATCCTCCACCGTGTACACCGCAAATGGTGCGTTTGGCTGCACCTGCAAACCGGGATGAACCCCGGCGACCGGTGGAGGAGGAGGAGGAGGTGGAGGAGGAGGAGGTGGTTGGTCAGACCGGGGTGCCGTAGAAACTCCCTGAGTCTTGGGAATAGCGTCATGATCCGGAATAGAAGAACCGGGAGCAGACGAAGATGAAGCGCCTGGGATGAAGCGCCTGGGTGACGACCGAAAAGATCTCCGTAGTGACTCCCCTGAAGAGGCCTCTTAGCCGCCCTCTCAAGCTTGCTCTTTCTAGGCATCTAAATTTTACAAAAAAAAAATTAAAACATTAATATACTTATCTTTAAAAAATGGTTAAAAAAACTAAATCAACCTAATCTAAATTACCTAAACTAACCACCTAATCTAAATTCCCTAAATTAACCACCTAATCTAAATTCCCTAATCTAATCACCTAACTAGGAAATAGAGAGAACCTTAAGAGGATTCAGAGAGAAGCTTACTACAAATGAGAGAAATCGGATGGCTCGAGTTTATATAGGGAATTTTGTTTCCTCGTAAGGTCCTAGTAAGTTTACGAGGCCTTTACGAGGAAATAGCTATGCCCGTGTTTTTATTTCCTCGTAAAGTCCTAGTAACATTATTACTAGGAATTTACGAGGAAACAGCCTTCACGAGTAAATAGCTATGCCCGCGTTTATTTTCTCGTAAAGTCCTAGTAACAGTATTACTAGGACTTTACGAGGAAACAGCCTTTACGAGGAAACAGCCTTTACGAGGAAACAACTATGCCCGCGTTTTCTGTTACTAGGGATTTACGAGGAAAGGGTTTGTAAATCCATAAACTCGAAACCCCAAACCCCAAACCACAACTTCCTAAACTTATAACCTCTTCTACAACCAAACTCCTAACCTCTTATACACATAAACCCCAAATGCAAATTAATTTTGTGATTAAACAAACTTAAAACATACATAATTCAAACTCATTTTTGTGATTAAAAAAACTTATAAACATACATAATTCATTCGGATACATTCTCGTAATCTGTTGAAACATCATCATTTTCGTAAAACTCGTCCTCTACACCTTCGTCCGTCAAGTGATCAGGAACATCTTCGTATTCAAGATTATGCGGATCAATGAGTAGGATGTCATCAATTCCTGCTTCTGGTTCCTCGATCTCATTGGTGTTTTCTTCTTGTAATGGTGGTTCTTCTCCAGCGATTATTCGTCATCGGGGTGTAACTTTGATAACAGCTAACCAGTTTATTCCCGAGG